ATACAGATTAGAAAATTAAAGGCTGAAATGAAGAAAGGCATACAAATCTTGTGCACAGCTGGGTAGATCCACTTTGGCAAAAATTGTCTCTTAATCTCTGTTTTATGAAAGAAAATAAAGAAACTCAAACCACAGAAGAATTTGAATTGAAATACAGTCATTTATTCATGGCACTACCTCTGACAGTCTCTCTTCCAAGGAGAGAAGATCCTGCAAAAGTGTGGCACTCCCATTTATACAAAGAGTATATTATTTTTTTTCTACAACTAATCTATCTTTACATTACCAGTAGAATTAAGTTTGTAGGTAAAGATAGCTTGTTACCTTCATACTTCTATTCTTTGAAAAGATGGACAAGTGACTAGGAAGCCTTTTCTATCTTCATTTCCATGAAAAAAAAAAAAGAGATCAGCTGTAAAATTCCCAGCTACCTTCCAGCATGATCCTTCTGGGGACTGCCCAAAAAAGTACCAGAGAGGACCGACCGCTCAGCAGTTTGACATATAGAAGAGATTTTGTGTTATATTACAGCTCTACACAACACCTCAGCAGTGGAGACCTGGTGCTTTCAGTGGGTTTCCAGTTCTGATGCTAACAACAACGTGAGCTGGTCTTTTTTTTCCTGCTTTAGTTTTCAATGCTCTTTTAACTTGCACTACAAAGGTATCAAGTGAACTTTTCAATGACTTGAAGATGAAATCAACACTCACAAAACAATATGATCAATATACTCTCATTTAATAAGTAAAACTTGCATCTATTCCCAACACAATTTGTTCATATGCATCATACCTTATAGGAGCCTTCCAGTCCCTAAAGGGGCTCCAGGAAAGCTGGAGAGGGGCTGGTGCCAAGGGCAGGGAGTGACAGGACAAGGGGGAATGGCCTGAAGCTGCAGGAGAGGAGATAGAGACGGGATGTGAGGCAGAAATCCTTCCCTGTGAGGGTGCTGAGGCCCTGGCAGAGGTTGCCCAGAGAAGCTGTGGCTGCCCCTGGCTCCCTGGCAGTGTCCAAGGCCAGGTTGGATGGGGCTTTGGGCAACCTGGGCTAGTGGAGGGTGTCCCTGCCCATGGCAGGGGGTTGGAACTAGATGGGCTTTGAGGTCCCTTCAACCCAAACCATTCTAGGATTCTATGCTTCATTCTCACAGAAGTCCTACAGGGAGTTGCATGGTATCCTACTGATGGAGCTTGCAAGCTCAGAAGTGGTGCTTATGTGGTACTCCAAATGAACAAGATAATTAAGTCATTCCATGTGATTTAGATAACTTTTTAATAAAAAAGAACAGTCTAGTCTAAATCCTTTAGACTGCCTTAAAATCCTCAGAGTGCCATTTTGCAAATGATTGATTTTTTTTTTCATTTCTGTGTAATATAAGTGAATTTGACTTGTCTTCACAAAATTGAACATGTCACAGACAGCGCACATGTAATCTTGAAACAATCTGCTGGCAGACGTATCAGATGATTGTAAATTTTTTTCCACATGATCTATTTCATGACAGTCATGAGCATTAACATCACACATTAAATCACCAGTGAAATAATATTCTGCAACTATATATAGATTCTTTAGTATATATGTTGATGTATACTCAATTACCGCACAACTAATTCCAGTTAAGTATAATGAATGATAATAATGTGTAAGAGAAAAACTAACTCTTAACCTGCAGTAGTTGCTTCTTAAAGGTTTTCTATGAACGTTTGATGTTTCTAATAATTTCCTACAGTTTGATTCTAATAATAATGGTAATTCTGAGGACCGGTAATACTCTTCCAGAATAGCATACACTTCATTGTACAAATAAAATGTGAAAGAAAACCTTTTAATGACACCCACTGCATTGCTAAGGGGATGTTACACATCTGTCCTGATGAGCATGGATAAACATAATATATTGGCTTTTCCCAGTGAAGTTATTGAATTTGGTGTTATTTTTATTCAGTTTTTGCTCAGGCAAACTTCAAAAAAAGTTTTAAATTGCCCAAGATTAAGTTTTAGCTTTGCAACAATAAAAGTAAAACACAAGAACAGACTGTCACTCTAAGTAAAAATTTACTCTCATGAGTAATCTGCTGAATTTAGTACTGCTGTATACACGTTCCTTATAATGAAAGATACTTGTAGAAAGTCACAGTTCTATACAAAATCAGCACACTCATAGACTTAATCGAGTAGCCTGGCAAGAAGAGACAAGCAATGAAAATACGATTGAAGGATGCATCCACTGCAAAACACAGTACTCCAGTACAGAGTAGTTCATCTTTTATCTTGGGGTGAAAGTGATAGCATAATCATGATACCAACGATAGTTTTCTATATAAGAATTATTAAAAATTAAATTTAATCACAAATTTATTCCATTAAAATAATTGCCTATTGCCTTGAATATTCTACAGTATAAATAAATGCATGAAGAGCTCAGCTAATTCTCTCTCTTCTACCTCTAGGTACTTTTGATCATATGGTTTCTTTTTGATTTTCCTTAGGTTTCAGAAAGAACAGGCAAGGAAAGTACCTCCATCCCTCTGAGGCGATTGCAAAAGATTGTGCATGTCAGTCCACATCCATGTAAATACTAACATTTTTGGAAACTGGAGAGGGAATTAAATACTGGTGCTTTTGTCCTTTTTTTTTTTCCCCCAGTGAGAAATAGCAGCACTGATCCTCTGCTATAGGTAGCATTTTCTGGCATCTTTCCTGCACAGCTAAATGTTTTTCCCTTGGTGAAACAGCAAATCACTTCCGTTGCCTGAAAGATGGTAGTGACACAGTTGGATAACACAGCTTTTTTTGTAGAGCTTCTGTAATAGTTTAGAAAAGGTTATTTATCAAAGCTAGCCTACAATACACCAAAAATGTATGTTATGAATAATATATAAGCATTTCAGTGATAAAAATTACAATGGTCTTGTATAATACCAATTAGATAATCAGTAACTTCTCTGTTCCAATTATCTAAATAGTGTTTTCTCACGATTTGTCTAACTTTTAGTGCACCTGGCATATGCAGCATGTTTTATTAACAGAGCCCTACCCACAGGAGTGGGTGCTAGTTACCTTTAACCATTTCCATCACATTCTGCCAGTGCCAACAAGCTTTTCCAGAATATTAATATCTTATTAGGGTTTCTTCTTTATCTAGTATTCCTTTCTTACTCTCCTCTGTGAGTCTACATGATGGAAAGCTGATATACAATACAGACTGAATGCAAATCACTTAATTTACTCAGGGATTAATAAAGATGTAAAACCTAATATTACCAGTTTAAAAGACATGAAAATAAATTCACGGTCATGAAAAATTACTTACTTCCCTTCAGCCTCACTTTTTTTTCTTGGGGTATTTCCCTATGCCCCATCTGCCCGTGCACTGCATTGCCTCAGGAGGACATGGTGCCTGGGAGCTCTAAAACACGACCAAACTGCTCCTCCTGACAACTTGATTTCTTGTACGCTCATACTCAGGGTGCAAATATATTCAAAAGCACACCAGGCGTTCTAGGAAACAGCATCGCATCACTTCTTTTGTGAGTCTTTGGGCTTTGGAAAGGACAGAGGGGTGTGAACTGGCAGAGCTTCACCTCCTGATGTTGGTGAATTTAGGAGACTTGCTCAGTTTTATGGAGGAAACCTCTGTCAGAAAAGAACCCTTGGTTTCTAGTTGCACAGTCAATACGGTGTTTGACAGTGCTATCAAAGAGGCTGGACCCACGGCCAGACCAGTTGGTTATCTAACTTGGAACGACTAAGATGATGCCAATAAAGGGTCCAGTTACAGGGAACTGCAAAAAAATAAGTCATGTCCTACAGGAAGAAAACGTGCATGGAAAGGCCTCTGCAACCTGGGGAACAGCTTTGTTTTGAGAGCCTTGCGTGCGATGAATCAAATGAGCTAGAAGAAAGAAATGTCAGTTCTTTCTGAGCTAAAAAGACGGGTCAGCAGCTTATCAAAACCTATTAGTTCTTTCAGTCCAATTACATTTTGAATAAACACACCCCATTCCCATTGTGTTTCTCAATGAATGATTCTGGTATTTTCTTTCAGGAATAAACTGAATCAGCCACTGCAGGCAATTAACTCAATAAATGACTACCAGGAAGAAGCAGTGATGCTGTTTCTATGCTAATCCAAGACCTGCAACAAGCCGCAAGAGCACTCACTGCAACAGTGGTGGAAGTGCAGGTATGTTCTTACCTCCGGAACACCTTCACCCACTGGTTCAGCCCTGGGACAATGAAGGGTGACAAATATTAACACTGCATAGCAGCATCTGGCCCTGTATGGGTGCATGCATAGTAAGATTCTGGTGTAAATAACTGCTGCACTTCATAAAAAAATCATATTTCCAAATATCTACATCTTTGCTCTTTCCTCTTTAAGTACAGTTTTATGGAATAGAAAAGGATCGTGAGAATTTCCCTAC